AATTGCCAAGTCCTCCCTCCCCTCCCGCTCTAGCTCTCACTCACCCTCTGTACTCCAAGACTCTAGCTTCACTGTTCCCCCTCCTTCTCTGAGCCGCTCCCTCTTCCTCGGCTTTTCCTACAAGAGGTTGACAGTTTAGAGGGCTCTCCTGACTCCCAAACAGCAGTCCAACCTAAGGCTCTTTCCCAGAAACCAGGGCTCCCGTTCACTGTCCGCAGAGCACTGAGCTTCCCGTCAACTCTCTAGTCTCACTGTCTTCTTGCTGTGCCACTCTTCCCTTGAGGTTAAAGTTCACCTCTGATCTCTCTCTGGAAGTCCAAAGGCCTTTCCTCTCTGCTGATATCCTCCAGTGGGCTCTCCTGTCTGAAATTAAGTGCAGGCAGGCCGCACTGGGGAAGGACATGTGCTGCCACCTCTGACATCCCTGCTTCTCAGGGCCCACACGGTGGAGGGAGATAACCGACTCTCTCAGGTTGTCCTCTGACCTCCACACTCGCACTTCGCTTGTGCCATCCGCTTGTGCTTTAGCGTGTGCATGTACCAATAAATATACTTTTAAAAATGAGACATGTCTTAGTTAGGGTTTCTATTGCTGTGAAGAGACACCCTGACCATGGCAGCTCTTAGAAAGGAGCACATTTAATTGGCTTACAGTTTCAGAGGTCTAATCCATTGTCATCATGGCGGGAATCGTGGTGGTGCGCAGGCAGACGTGGTCCCGGAGCAAGGCAGAATGACAGTCTGCCATAGGGTACCAGTGCGGTGCTGGGAAGCTGCTTTACTGTGCCACACAAGGCCCAGCAGAAATCACTGTCTAGGCACGGTGGCGCACAACTTTTATGCCAGCACTTGTGAAGCAGTGACAGGTGACTCTGTGAGTCTAAGGCCAGCCTGGGCTGTCATCTCCAAACAAACAAACAAACAAACAAACAAGAGGTACAATTGGTTTAGGTCAGGGTGGCTGTGGTGGGAGAAAGGGTTTAATATTCTTGGCTCCTCTATCACTTATTATTTAAAATATTACCACTGGTTGGTGAGGCTTTTCTTTTGGAAGGAATCTAGGGTGGAAAACTGGATTGAGGGCGGAGAACAAAGAGCAGGGAAGAAGAGGGCATTTCTGAGTTGGGCGATGTTAAGCACGCCCCGTGGGATTCAGTGCTATTTAACATTTCATAAATGATTTTTAAGAAGGGAGTCTTTGAGACACTTCAAGGTACACAGATTATCCTTTCATTTTCAGGTAGCAAAATGTCAAGCCCACAGGGAACATCTAAGCCAGGAACTGTAGTGGTCGTGATAGCCTGTCACCCCAGCACTTAGGGGGTGGGGCAGTAGGATCAGGGGTTCAAGGGCTGCCTAGGATACATGGCGTCCTGCCTCAGGGCGCGTGGTGGCTAATGTCAAATGATGAGATTCAGGACCCCCTGGGAGACAGGCTTCTGTCTGGGATTAATTAAGGTGGGAAGAGCCAGTCTAATGATGGCTGAAGCCATTCCCTGGGGTTGGGATCCTGCATTGTACGAAGGAAGGACGTGAGCTGAGAAACAAGTCTTCATCCCCTTCTGCTTCCTGTGGTTGCCACATGACCAGCTGCCCCAAGCTCCTACTCCTTGTGACTGACCTCTCTGTGAGGACCTTGACCTGGAGCTGCGCGCCAAAAACCAAGCCCTTTCTTCCTTAAGTTGCTTTTGTCAAGTGTTTCATTACAGCAACAGGAAAAGCAGCGAGGGCAGGGAGCATGCTCCAGAACACTTCTGAAACTATGTAAGCAAGCAAGCCGCAAAGTGGAAGTTGTCTTGCTACCCCGCCCGGCCCCCATAAGGCAGCTTACGTGGGAGAGAAGATGATTTAGATGCCACCTTTTAGAGAATGCACTGAAATGCCAGCTGGCACCAAGGAAAGGGACCTGGAAGTCAAAGAAAAGTATCCTTCGAGAAATCAAGGGGGCTGGAGCGATGGCTCAGTCATTAAGGTGCCTACCATGAAACATGAGGACCTGAGTTAGGATCTTGCCGTCTGTCTCTAACTCCAGTGCTGGGGGGATGGAGACAGGTGGGTGTCTGGAGTTCACTGGCCAGCCTGTCTTGGCAATCTGTGAGCTCTAGGTTCAGGGAGAGACTGTGTCTTAAAATACGGTGTGACAGTGATGAGCACCTCAACCTTTGGCCTCCGTGTGCGCGTGCACCCACATGCGAGTTCATTCAAACGTGTGCACAGACATGCACATACCACACGTGCCGGACTTTAGCCCCCGCTTTCCCCCATGTTCGAGAACTTGCTTTGCAGCCCTTGCCCATGCTGGCCTTGAGCTTGCAGCTCTTCTCTTTTCTCAGCCCCCCAAGTTCGGGGATTACAGCCATGTATGGACACTCGCCGTGTGACACCAGCTCCTCTGAAGTTGAAAAGGCCAGCTGAAGTTCAGACCACTTCGAATAAAGACAGAGGAAGCTGGGGGGATGGCTGGGTGGGGAAGAGCATGTGCCCCTTTTACAGAGGACCCAGGTTCAATCCCCAGCACCCACATGGCAGCTCTCAGCTGTCTGTCACCCCGGTTCCAGGGGACCTGACACCCTCTCCGGACCTCTGTGGAAATTAGACATTCATACAAATAAAACACTCATATATGTAAAACAAAAACAAATAAAGGTGAGCCAGTCGAGGTGGCGCACGCCTTTAATCCCAGCACTCAGGGGAGGCAGAGGCAGGAGCATCACTGTGACTTCAAGCGCAGCCTGGTTTACAAAGCTAGTCCAGGACAGCCAAGGCTACACAGAGAAACCCTGTCTTGAAAAACTGACCAACCGACCAACCAACCAAACAAAGTTTAAAAAGTAAACACTGAAATGGAAGAATAAAGACAATATCATCAGCTGCAACAGGGGTCAGGGGTTTTGTTTGTTTGTTTGTTTGTTTGTTTTCTGTTGTACAACATTATCCTCAGAGCCAAATAGCTGTCACCTTCAGGACCTCAGCCACCTTCTTGCAAAACATTGCCATAGACAGGCTTGTTGGTGGCTCACATTCCCTTATAGAAGGGAGGAGGGAGTGGTGAAGGCCATGGGACCCTCACCTGAGGGTCCAGTTACTCCTCCCTGTCACTTGTATAAATTCCGGTCGTGGAGAGGGCTCGGGTACACGGGCCAGGGAAGGGGCTCTGTCTGTGTGCGTGGCGATGGGGAAACAAGCATCCATGCTCCATGCGGACTTTCCAGCGTGGATGGTTCAGGGTCAGCTGGTGGGAGCGAACGTTTGTTTGTTACTGGGACCTCAGAAGGAGGGGGTCGAGCGTTAGTGCCCTCCCCTGAGAAAGTCCTCTCCACATTTTCTTCAGGCGTTGGTGTGAAGTGCTAAGAAAAAAAGCAGAGAAAGGCAGGTGAGATGACTGAAAGGATAGAGAGACTTTGGTTTGACTGGTTAAAATGCCCATCAAAAAGATAAGAAACCAGTTTAGAAAAGAAGATGGTTCAGTAGATATGGTCCTTTTCATATAACCCTATCATTCTCTGTGCGTGCATGCATGTGTGTTCACCACATGCATGTGATGTCCATGGAAGCCAAAAGGGGGTGTCTTAAGATCCCTCGGGCCTGGAACTCCAGGCCATTGTGGGTCTCCTGTTGTGGGTCCTTGGGAGCTGAACTCAGGTCCTCTGCAAAAGCAGCACACGCTGCTAGCCCCTGGGCCATTTTTTGAGGCCCACAGTCCTCTTATTTTAAAATGAGCAAGCAAAAGAAGCTTGAAAACCGGGAGTAATGTCTATGTAGGAAGCCATCACCAGAGGACACATAAAAGGTCTTTCTCTAGGTGGGGAAAGGAGGCTTAGGATGTCTCCAATATGTTGGGCCAGCAAGATGGCTCAGTGGGTAAAGGTGCTTGCTGCCAAGCCTGAGGCCTTGAGTTTGATCCTCTGGACTGAATTCTGCAAGGTGTCCTCTGACTTCCATGTATCACACACGTGCACACACACACGCACACACACACACGCTCACACATGTAGAAGGATGAATTGGGGGAACTATCTGCACACATCCAGTCTCTTGTCTAAACGAAAACTTCTGTGGGAGTAGGAAGTACCCTCCATCTTTCTTCCCCCAAGTCGTCCTAGGACACAAGCACTCAAAAACAGAAGTCACTAACATGACTCCCAAAGGAGACAACATGCTAAAACTGGACCTCATTTTGAGTCAAAATTAGATTGAAAAATGAATCCAACGGTGGAAGATTTATGATCGGTTAATAAGGGAGTTAAGGTAAAGGGGGTACACCCTTCATCTTCCTGTTGTTGCCATGGAGATGTCCCGTCGTCCTCAGAGGAAATGGTACTTGGAAGTCTGAACTGGGAGGATAAAATAATATTTCCTAAGCACGATTTCTCAGTATCTGGATCCTCATAAACAGAAAGGATAAGACCCGAAGGAGGGATTCCATCACGGAGGGGTTGCCAGAAGAAACGGAGGTTCTGGTAAACCAACTGCTACTCGGACAACAGTTACCCACACTCTGGGGCTGCGGCCGGACCTGTCTTCTAAGAAACTGGGATCATAAGGAAGCGAGGCAGGGGTAAAACCCTGGGTACCAATGAGGTGGGAGTCAAAAATGGTCTACAGTTAACACACGGAGCCTTACTTGTAGGTTAAAGATTTCTGTATGTTAATGTTGTGGTTTCTCTTTAACCCTCCTTCCCCCTGCAAGTGAGACCCAGAACCTCAGCCCATCAAAGGCATGGTCTCATCTCCTTCTTCCCAGCAGCTCTTTTTCTTTTCTTTCTTTTTTTTAACCTGGTTCTCTGTCTCCACTGAGTAGGAACTTTCAGCCCCGCCTTCCTGCCCATCTACGCTCCGCCTCCCCGGCCCACCTGTGTGCCCAGCCCCTGACGTTGCCCCGGGGCTTCAGCGGCCCGCAGGATCCCGGGTCCTCATTGGTCCGTCCGTCCACGGGCTTGCGCAGCCCACCAATGGCAACGGCGCTGGGCGGCGGGGGGGAGTGCCCACATCCAAGATGGCGCCCCCAGGAGCTGGGAGCGGGTGACCGGCGGCGGGGAAGCGGCCTGGGCTGGCCCTCAGATTGCGGGGTCCCGGGGGCCTGTCGCGGGGCGCCCCCGTGACCCACCGACCAGGCCTTCCCCCGGGCCGGAGCGATGGCCGCCGAGAACAGCAAACAGTTCTGGAAGAGGAGCGCCAAGCTGCCGGGGAGGTGAGCCCAGGACGCTGAGGGGAGTGGGGGATTGGACCCGAAGCCTTCCAGATCCTCATCCCTGAATCCGGCGGGCCTGGAGCGAGCCGGGGGCGCCCCGGAGGCCGGGGGAGCCGGTGTCGGGGTGGCCCAGCCTGGGGCAGCTGTCAATCAGAGGAGCCTGGCCAGCTTGGGTGTGGGGTGCAGTTTGGGTCTGGGGGCGGGGAGCCTCAGCCGGGAGGTGTCCGGGGACCCGGTGTGAGGGGCAGTGGAGTTGGGCCACTTGCCGCTGTCAGCCTGGCCTTGGAGGACCACCTGCAGACCGCTTTCCACTTTCTGCGGAACTCCTTAGGGGTCCCTAACAACACGGGCATCTGATTGCACGAGGGTGGCCCTTGGCCTTGGCTCCAGCCCGGCAGGTTGCCGGTTTCCTTTTGGACTCCCCGGGGGTTCTGGTGGGAGAGCCTGGGGCAGGGCTGTGAGCAGGGAAAGCGAGGGGAATTCTCAAGCCTGACCCTTACTTTGTCTTGAGTTGGCCCTTTCTCATTAGAAATTATTACAGGCTGACCACAGCATTTGCTAATTGTGCAAGCCAGTTTAACCTCTTCTCCCCGAGAAGTAATGTTCTTTTTTTGTAGATGCATTAAATTCGTTTACTCCTCAGTTTTGTTGGCGAGCAGGCCTCCCAAGCAACTTATTCTCTTAGTTTTTCTTTCTCCTCTTGGTGTGTGTTGACACACTGAACAATTGTCCGTCAGTCTGCCTTTGGTTTACTGGTTCAGTTTGTTTTGAGGCGTCCTGAAAAGAGTGAAAGAAGTATGTGTTCATCACTGAATTTAAGATTTCTGCCAGCTACGGGCTGCTTTGTGTTAGAAGTTGTGTCTCTCCTTATTGATTTGCTTGTAAATTTTTGCGTCCATATGTAATCCTTTGACCCATGACCTCTCTCTCTTAGTCGCCTTCTTCTTTCCCTTCCTGCCTTCCTTCCTCTTTCCCTCCTTTTAACTCTTCTCTCTCTCCTCCTTTAGTTCCTCTTCCCTCTCTCTCCCTCTCTTCTTCTCAAGGCAAATACTCTACCACTAAGCTACAGCCCCCACCCCACCCCTTTCTTCGAGCAAAGAGAAATGAGAGGCAGTATTGGCTGTGTACCTTACCTAAGATGCTTTTAGACACGTGGAGAGAATTTAGGAACCAGATTTTAGCGATGCATATTAATGTAATACCAGGGGAGGCGAAGGTAGCTTTGGACTAAAATGCTGTGGGGTTATGGTGTTCGCACATCCTACAGCTCTGTGGTTTTAGATAAGCTTCATTTCCTGTCACGGATTTCTTTTCCTTCCTGCTTGAGTGAGCTCTCCAGCTGTGTCAACTGCTCTTCTCTGGGAGTTTGCTATGGAGCAATCATTACATTTTGATATCCTGAGATAATAATCAGTGGGAGAATGTTCCCATCAGGAAGCAGTGATGAGGACAGTGGGAGACAGATACTCTTTGTGCCTTTGGTCTGCCAGAGGTGGTATGTTAACGCTCTTTTGTCTTCGTTATTTCTTCTACTGGACTATAGAGGAAGTCAACTTTTTAGAAATGCTACTTCAGATAATTATATGTGTCTGTTATTTATTGTGTGTTTGTGTGTACGAATGTGTGCGTGCCACAGCGCTCAGGTGGAGAGCAGAGGGCAGTTTGTGGAAGCCCGTCCTCTGCTTCCACCCTGTGGGTCTCAGTGATCGAGCTCAGGTCCTCTGGCTTGGCAGTAAGCTCCTTCACCTGCTGAACCATCTTGATGGCCCAAAAGCATTACTTTTGCTAGGTAGGGAGAATCTTCTGTTTCTTCAAATCCCTGGCTTTCTTTTTCATATTGAAACAGAGCAGTAGAGGCAAGAATTTTGAAGTCCAGACGATGATGATGATTGTTATTTAGATTCTCTTGTGTGATTGACTATCTAAGCTTCAGTTTCCTAATCTATGAAATGAAGAATAAAAAAACCCGAATCCCTCAAGGTTACTGTGAAGGCTAAATGAAATACCCTATTTGTTATTTGTTTATTTATTTATTTTTTTCGAGACAAGGTTTCTCTGTGTAGCCTTGGCTGGCCTGGACTCACTTTTTAGACCAGGCTGGCCTCGAACTCACAGAGATCTGTGTGCCTCTGCCTCCCAAGTGCCGGTATTACAGCCGTGCGCCACGTGCCTGGCAGAAATGCCCTGTTTGTAAAGAACCTAGGACAGTGTTTATTTAGTACATTGTACTTGCTCCATAAATAGTCACTATTAATTGTATGTTGTTATCATTCTAGCAGGCAGGCGTTTCAAAGGCTGTTTCTCAGTTCCCCAGTACTAGTTGTTTGTCTTGTTTATTATCAAGGCATAAAAATGTTGCCATGATCCATAAACCAGGAGCCATACCTTGCCTGGTGAGGGAAGTGTGCTCCCCATGCATGCTTGGCAGAGAGCCCCAGAGTTCGGGGCTGTGGGGAAGGCTGGTGCCCGTTTCCATAGAAGGTGCTTTGGTTCCAGAACAGAGCTTTTCCATCTGAACTCTTTTGTGTCTGGAGAAGAGAGATTTTCTCCTGGGCAGGCAGAAGAACGAGCATGTTTTTTGGGGGTGGGTAGATCCTCAGCAGGGTAGAAGGAAAGCTACTTTGCTCTTCTTTGTGGTTTGAAAGGTGAGAAAACCCAAGCAGTGGTGGTTTCTTTGATCATGCTGGAGTGACTTTAGTGATAAGTAGGAATTTTGTTAGAATAGCCCAAGCTAAAAAACAAACAGACAAACAAACAAAAGAACCAAAGGGGGCTGGAGAGGTGACTCAGCCAGTTAAGAGCACTGACTGTTCTTCCAGAGGACCCAGGTTCAATTCCCGGCACCCACGTGGCAACTGCTCACAACTGGCTGTAACTGCAAGATCTGACACCCTCACACAGGCACACATGCAGACAGAACACCAGTGCAATAAAATAAATAAATTACATAAACAAACAAACAAACAAACAAACAAGGGGGCCGGAGCCATGGCTCAGTCAGTTAAGAGCACTGACTGCTCTTCCGGAGGTCCTGAGATAAATTCCCAGCAACCATATGGTGGCTCACAACCGTCATAATGAGATCTGGTGCCCTCTTCTGGCGTGCAGGTGTACATGCGGGTAGAATATTCATACACACATACATAAATACATAAATAAATAAACAAACAAACAAATAAATAAGAAAAAGAAATAAAAACCAAGGCACTCTAAGTTTTGTGTGTTTGTTTGTCTCACTGAGTAGTTCTGGCCGTCCAGGAGCTTACTCTGAAGACCAGGGCTGACCTTGAGCTCACAGAGATCTGCCTGCACCTGTTTCCCCAGGCCTCTCCCTATGCCTGGCTCTTTAGATATTTTTTAAAAATGATTTTGCTGCATGTAAGTGTTCGCTCTGCATGGGGGTCTGTGCATGACTTGTGTCCCAGGCGTCCACTGAAGCCAGAAGAGGTCGTCAGATCCTCCGGGACTGGAGTTAGACACCTTGTGACCGTGTGGCCGGGAGCAGATCCCGGGTCAAATAAGCGAGCAGCCGGCGCTCTTAATCGCTGAGTCTTTCTCTAACCCAGAGCGTTTTTCTTCTTTCTTTAAAAGAAAGTTATTGAGATATAAAATTCACTCTTTAATTTTTCTAGATTTAATTAATTCGTTTTTTAAAAAATATTTGTTTATTTGTTTTGAGACAGGGTTTCCGTGTGTAGCCCTGGCTGTCCTAGAGCTAGCTCTGTAGACCAGGCTGGCCTCGAACTCACAGAGATCTGCCTGCCTCTGCCTCCCGAGCGCTGGGATCACCACCACTGCCCTGCAGTTTGTTTTTTGAGGTGGGGTCTCACTCAGTACCCTTCGTTGGTCTGGACCTCACTGAGTGGACCAGGCTGGTCTCAAACTCCTAGAGATCCATCTGCTTCTGCCCCCGAGGGGCTGGGCTGAAGGTGTGCGCCACCAGGCCTGGCTTATTTTTAAGTGTTCGAGCGTTTTGCCTGAGTGTACTCCTGCACACCGCATGCACACCTGCTGCTGGAGGCACAAGTCACCAGAGCGACGCGGGTGCCCCGCAACTGGATTCTGAAAGACTCTGAGCTGTCATGTGGGTGCTGGGACCCAAACTCGGGGTTCTGCAAGAGGTATGCTCTTAACTGAGGAGCCACCGTTCCAGCCCCAAAGTCACCCTCAAACACAAGGCTCCGCAGTGTGTAGTGGATCCGCCCAAAGGTAGGCGTTTCTGTTTCTCCATCAGCACTAATTTCAGAACACTTTAAAAAAGATTTCTTTGTTTTTATTCTATATTTGTGAGTGTTTTGTATGCATGAATGTTAGTGAACCCTGTGTTTGTAGAAGTCAGAAGAGGGCAGCCGATCCCTTAGATAACCTGAAGCTGCAGAGGATTGGGAGCTACCATGTGGCTGCTGAGAGCTGAACCCAGGTCCTCTGCAGGGAGAGCCAGTGCTCTTAACCACTGAGCCTCCTCTCCAGTCCCTGATTCAAGACATTTATTTAATTTTAGACAGTGTCTTATTATATAGCTGTGTTTGGCCTGGAACTCACTGTGTAGACCAGGGTGGCCTTAATTCACTGAGATCCAAAAAGGTGGCACACAACTTTAATCCTGGTACTCGGGAGGCAGAGGTAGGCAGATCTCTGTGAGTTCGAGGCCAGCCTGGTCTACGGAGCTAGTTCCAAGACAGCCAAGGCTACACAGAGAAACCCTGTCTTGAAAAACAAAACAGAACAACAACAAAAATCACAGAAATCCTTTGCCCCAGAGTGCTGGGATTAGGGCCTGTGCCATCATGCCCAGTTTAGGTCACTGTGTTGATGTGTAGGTAGATAAGCTGCTTGCATCATCATTACAGAACAGACCCGTGTTACAGAAAGCAGGCTCTGTAACCTGATTGCCTGCGTTAAAATCCCAGTTTTGGCACTTTGCAGCTAGGTGACCTGTCTCAGAGAACAAAACAAAAATCTAGAAAGAGGGCTGGGGATGTGGCTCAGTGGTAGAACGC